CTCGTGGAGGCGCTAATCAACCCACCGAATATCGAGGATAAGAGCATCACGCTGCCTAAATTTCAACCGGAGGATGCAGGCACCGACGCCCGGGCCTGGCTTGCCACGGCGGACATCTGTTTATCGGATAGTGGTATACAGGGAAGTAAATTAGTTCTTATACTTAGTAAGGCCATGACAGGTTCGGCCGCAACATGGTTTTCTCAGATAGCTTTTCCTAATATGAAATGGTTAGAATTTAAGGAAATTTTTCTTTCTCGTTTCGATACGTTAGAAACATGTGCTGCAACGATATTAAAGATGCTTACTGGCAAACTGCAAGAAGGTGAATGTCTTGCTGCATATGCAAGCCGTTTATTTACTTTACTCATGTCACGATGGAGTAATTTGGGCAAGGAAGAAATGGTGGTATCCTTAATACTTGCACACATGGGGCAAATTGAGCCAAGGTTACAACGCAATATTTTTTTTGAAGAAATAACTACCCGCTGTAAAATGCAACGTGAACTAATGGCTTTTTCTTATCGCAAGCGGAGCTACCAAGAGATAACAAAGACCGTTGCAAGCACTATACCAGATAATAAGCGTCCTAGGTTAAGTTCAGTTTCAACAAAATGTTACGCTTGTGGAAAGCTTGGTCATAAGTCTTTTGAATGTTTCAGTCGATTGCATGACAAGCAGCAAACAACTCCGACCACTGAGCGCCGGCCGTTACTACGTGGGCCCCTGTGACTTGCTACAAGTGTGGTGTTGAGGGCCATGTGGCATCGCGGTGCTCAAAAACGTGGCCAGTTGCGAGCAGCAGCGCACAGCCTGCCGCCGCACCCAGCGTTGTGAAACGAGTGGACGTGTGTGGTATGAAACCTGTCACCGGGATAATTACACAATTTGGTGAGCAGTTCTCATTTTGTTTTGATTCCGGTGCTGATTGTTCCTTAATTAAAGAGAGCGTCTCTCGTAAGCTTGTTGGTTCATTGCAGCGTGCCATAGTTACTTTGACTGGTGTAGGAAAATCTAGTGTACTATGTGACTCGCAAATTTTATCTGGGGTCTCTCTTAGTGGTCATGACGTACAAATATTATTTCACATTATACCCGATGATTACCTAAATAACAATATTTTGATTAGAAGTGATTTGTTGGCCTTAGGGTTGTCAGTACACATATCAAGTGATAAGCTTATTATAGTTGAGAAGCCCTCTCTAGTTAATATTTGCAACGTAGGTAGCGCGGTGGCTGACTTTCATGACGTGGATATCGATATACCCGATAACTTTAAACCACAATTAATAGAACTTCTTAGCTGCTTTAAAAACTAATTTGTTAAAGGCACGCCTACTAGTAAAGACAGGCGAATTAGAAATTAATTTAGTAGATCCTAGCAAAATCGTGCAACGGCGGCCTTATCACTTGAGCCCTGAAGAGCGAGTGATAGTACGTAATAAGTGTAGTGAATTATTATCTGCTGGAGTTATTAGACCAAGCAAATCGCCCTTCTCTAGCCCAATACTCTTAGTAAAAAAGCGTGATGGCACAGACCGAATGTGCGTAGATTACCAAAAAACAAACTCAAATACAGTTCCCGACCGGTACCCCTTACCTCTAATTGGCGATCAAGTTCAAAGGTTATCAGGCGCGCGGTTTTATACGTGTCTTGACATGGCTAGTGGATTTTATCAAGTTCCTATAAATGTAGAGTCGAATTCGATCGAGAAAACCGCATTTATTACCCCGGACGCTCATTATGAGTTTACTGCCATGCCTTTTGGCCTACGAAATGCTCCCTCTGTGTATCAGAGAGCTATTAACGCGGCTCTAGGTGACCTAGCGCATTCTTATGCTATCGTTTATATGGACGATCTAGTTATACCAGCGAATAACGTAGAGCAAGGGTTGGAACGGTTACGTGTAGTATTAAAAACTCTTAGCGATGCTGGATTTTCAATTTCAATATGAAAAAATGAGTCTTTCTAAAGAAGCAGGTCCAGTTTTTGGGGTATGAAATATCAGAGGGCGAAATCAGGCCTAACCCTCGTAAAATAACCGCGTTGACTAGGTCCCAACTGAGCTGGATCCGTGTCTGTCGGATGACAATGATGGTAAGAACTTCGTAATAAATTTCTTTTGTTTAAAATAATTAGTTATTAGAGTGTGTTTGTATATTGCAAATAGATTTTCTTTATAAGATATCCTGCGTGGTGGTTGTTAAGGTTTAGTTAAGCTTTATGAGAGGCGAGGTGGCCACTGAATGGCGAGGTGGCCACTGAATGGCGAGGTGGCCACTGAATGGCGAGGTGGCCACTGAATGGCGAGGTGGCCACTGAATGGCGAGGTGGCCACTGAATGGCGAGGTGGCCACTGAAAGGCGAGGTGGCCATTGAAAGGCGAGGTGGCCATTGAAAAATGAAATTAGTAGAATAAGAGGCGAGGTGGCCATTTAGATATTGTCAGTAATCCAAAATGTGTAACGCGATAAACGGCGAGGAGGCTGTTTCGATACTACTGACTTAATTTACGATGTAGTGTGGAGTCTGTTAGGATTCGGATTCGATTATGAAAGGCTTTAAATGAAGTTGTTGCGCAGAGGATAAAATGTAATGATGTACACGATCTCCTTGGTCAGGAGTGGCCGAACTATACAAAATGTCTTCTTTCTTTTCTGCAGATAACGATGATGCGCGGCCATCAATATCACACGAGGGCGTGTAATACGTCAGGACGGCCGTGTCGGAGGAAGCTAGGAATCAGATTGATTGTTGTTTGCATGATGAATAACGCACAATATTATTTGTTTACATTTTAAATAATTCTAAAATTATTAATTTGATTTTATTTGATTGCTTACATTTTTCTATAATTTAAAAACTTCGGCAATCTAATAAAAGCTATGAATATGTTAAGTCACGTAACGACCAATCGGAGCAGAGCACGTGCCTCGAGCGGGGTCGAGGCGCCATCGTTTACTTTAGGGAGACTGATTGTGTTTTTCGAACATTCGAGTGATAGTAACTGGTCGAGTTGGATCGTATTCATTGTTTGAAGTAAAGACGGTGCCCTGAACCCGCTGCTCGGTCTTAGTTATTAATTCTTTGTTTTAATTTATTTCAATAGTGCGTGTGAAAGTGAACATTGTAATATCTGTGTTAAGTGAATATTATTAAAATAAAACACTACAGAACTGTTAATTGTGTTTTGTGCTCGCACTTTACCCAATGACGCCCACTAAGCCCGCAACCACGAATGATGATGTCAGGGAGAATAATGTTTCTCCGACATATATATATATATATATAGATATATATATATATATATATATAGATAGATAGATAGATAGATAGATAAAATTTTGATGATACTTCATTTTAACCCCAAATATACATATTTCTGGTAAGCCAAATCGTAGGAAATGTTATTAATAATGGGCGTAAGACTGCTCTTTGAGGGGTTTTTTAATGATGTTCTGTTGGTTTTTTTATTTTAATGATATTAATAAATACAACATTTACTGTAACCCTTCCTGGACACTAGACATTTGCATCTATTACCATGATTTAAAGAGACTATATTTTTTTCCGCAACTTGGTCAAAACAACTACGGTCTCTAAGGTTTCACTACGTTATCTTAGGTTACTCATCCGAGAGAGGTGGACTTATGTATAATATAGGATTTTTTATCAGTGTTGATAGCTTTCTGTTAATATTCTAAAGCTTATTTAAAAAAAATAGATATACATGCTTTTGGAGATTAAGACTCATGTTCACGTCACGTCAAGTTATATATACATATAATAAAATTCTAACGAGTCGAATCTGTACATAAAATATTTTATATATAATATATATCAATCATATAATATAAATCATATAATACCCTCTTCTATTATTATGGCCGCTATAATACACGTACGAATGGAGACAGGTGGGCCAAAAATGTAACTTCATGGAAGGGGCCTGTTCAGGCCAGAGAACCGAACAGACAAATCTTTTTCACGATATTGAAATGTTCATTATTATTATTATATACTTTTTCCTCTTTGGAGAGATCCTTAATAAATAAATAGAGAAAAAAAAGAAAAAGAAATATAATTATTAAATTAAATGTAGTCAAGAATTTTTGTATAAGTTTTTAAAGTTTTTTTCATTAATACATTAATAACATGCTCTTTAATTAACCGAATTCAATAAAAACTTTTTAACAAAATGTAAAAACCGACTTCCAGGCACCAAAATGTAAAAAATAACTAAATGGAGGTTTTCATTTAGAATAAATACCTAATCAGATATTTTCAAAGTCGGTGCCAGCCGACGCATAGGAAATCTAATATATTTCGATACGTAAAATACATACCTATTTACATATTAGGTATTCATATCTTAAAATATTGTAGGCTAATATTGTACACATAAATACCTTTTAAATTTATTTATGTGCCATTTTTTATAATATGTACATTTTTTGTATGCCACATAGAATCATTACGGTTAGTAATCTGGAAAATATTGAACATAAAAACTATTTGAAAATAAATGAAAATTTAACAAGTATTAGTTTTCAAAATTTCAGTTCGCCGCGAGGCAAAGATGGGTATAGATGCACCCCTGTCGTTCTCAGCCAAATAATTCGTTTTGCTAATTTAAACCAAATTTAATAAAAAAAATCTTATATAATTAGCTAATTTACGTTACAAGTAAAGGTGTAGTGCTAATTTTATCAAGTATTCTGCTGAATTTTGTGCTAAAAATAGTGAAACTGTGAGTTACTTTATTGTTGGTGAAGGGTATTCGTAACATACGACCGTGTCTTTGTCGCCGTGGGTCATTAACCTCAATACTCGATGCATCACATTGCCCGTGACAACATAGTCTAATTCGCCGATCGTCGCTAACGTTCGCTGGCGTATCGGTGCACACCTAGTGGCTTAATCGACACGTTCCAGGTTCAAACCCAAGTTCATAAAATAATTTTCGTTTTTAAATTTTAATAATATACTTATAAGAACATGGAATTTGCTTGTTGCATCAAAACTACATGTGAAGCTCATGATCCTCTTATTTGTACACGTTGTGAACGAAACTTCCACGTCGATTGTGCGCTGCCATCTAAATCACTAAATTGGGAGCCCGATGAAAGCATAAGACTAATGTGGAGGTGCCCCTCCTGTGGCAGCGCCTCTCCTCGTAACAATAAAGACGATACTCCTTGCCGTAATGTTACAAAGCGCTCTAAGCCAAAGAGTGACAAGGCTACAACGAGTATTGTAGACAAATCCGCTAAGTCAAACCAAAAACCTTTAAGTCTTGCACAGATTACGGCGGAGGAGATACGGTCTATAATTAAATCTGAGATTAAAGATGCCCTGTCGTCATTTCAAAAATCTTTCGATGATCTTCGAATAGAAATATCTTCACTACGCAGTTCTGTGCAGTTTCTAAGCGACAAATATGATAGTGTCACAAAAAAGATGGAATCTATTGAAGCGAAAATGAAAACAATTGAAGCTAGTAGATCGGAATGCTTAAACTTGCAAGGGGCCGTGTCCGCACTTCAGAACGATATTAATAAAAAGGAGCAATGGGCGCGACGTTCAAACATTGAGATAATCGGTATACCAGAAGCGAAAAATGAGAATTTACTAAACATAATTAGTAAAATTGCCGGTGTTGCCGATGTTAAAAATTATGTTGCTACAGATATTGACTTTATCACTAGAGTCACTCCAAAGCATAACGATTCAAAAAAATCTAGACCTATTATAATTCGTTTCCTGTTTGATATAAAAAGGACGACTTTCTGGCTAGATTGAGGGAAAAGAAGAATTTAAAGTGTTGTGATATCGGATATGTAGGTAATAGCAATCGCATTTACTTTAACGATCACCTTACTAGTTTCAATAAAATGATCCTCCGTAAGACTAAGGATCTAGCTCGTGAAAAGAAGTTTAAATATGTATGGGTTAAGAACTGTTCCATCATGGTGAGAAAAAACGACACTAGTCCTGTTCTGCACATTCAGTCCGAAAATGATTTTAAAAGAATAATATAAGTGTTAATAATGTATTTATTGATTTATTGCATTTTTATTTCTATGTGCATGTACAATTCTTGATAAAATTTCTTAATATACCTATATTTTTATTTCGCAGTTTTAAGAGAGAGATGAAGTATTTTAATTAAACTATTTTTAGGTTTCTTTTTATCTATTTATTATTTGGAATTTTATAGATTTAATAAATATTTGTTAAAATTTTTAGTTAGTATTAATAATGTTTTTATGCACTGTTTTCAATGTATTAATATACCTATATTTTTATTTCGCAGTTTTAAGAAAGAGATGAATATTTTAATTAAACTATTATTAGGTTTCTTTTTATCCATTCATTATTTGAAATTTAATAGATTTAATGAATATTTGTTACATTTTTTACTTAGCGGTAATAATGTTTTTATGTATTGTTTTCAATGTATTAACTGGATGAATGCAGGGTTCAAATATTTTAATCCACTTTTAATGAATTATTATTTTCTGTCGATAAATTGTTGTTTCTTATTTTACACTTTATAATTCTTAGTAATGTTGTTATAGTATTATTATATTTCAATGGATTCTAAAATAATTTTATTTTACCAAAATGTACGTGGTCTGCGTTCTAAAACCTCTTCATTTTTTTCTAATATATTGAATGTAGAATACGATATTATTTGCTTAACAGAAACATGGTTGTTGCCTGGTATTTATGATTCTGAGCTCTTTGACTATAGATACTCCGTCTATCGATGCGATCGTGATTATGATTCTCGGAATGATAAACTAGGTGGTGGCGTTCTGATTGCCGTTCGAAATGGCTTAACTGTGAGAGAAGTAACCGTTCAACCCTCCACTAATACTTGCTCATCTGATGTTATTACTATTTGTATAGGCATTAAGTCAAACAACAATCTTACCAACTTTCGAATATATTGCGGTTACTTTCCCCAATGTGCGTTGCAACTTGATGATCAAATTAAATTTTATGAACAAGTATCCGAAGCAATCATTTTAAATCCTAAAGACACATTTTTATTAGTTGGAGATTTCAATATCCCGGCCGCTAATTGGTCTCAAGTTGATGATACTAACGTCACTAAACTGTTACACACACCCAGAGATTCAAATTCTCAAGTTAGCCTATTATCAACTTTTTTACGAATAAATAATTTAAACCAGTTTAACATTATACCTAACGGTAATAATCGATATTTGGATCTGGTGATTAGCAATTCTAATTGTATTAGTGTAAAACACTGTGAAATACCTTTAGTTAAAGAAGATTCACATCACCCTGCTCTAGAAGTTGAATTAAGCAATTTACTATCTAACTTTCTCACGAATGCTCCACGAGTTGTTAAACTTTTCCGTAAAGCGAATTATTATGAAATTAATAAAAGGTTGTTTGAAATTGATTGGCCGGAGTGTTTTAAGTCTTTAGATATAGAGCGTGCAGTTGAAGTATTTTACGAAATCATTAATCGTGTTATTGATTCTCTTGTTCCCACTAAAACTGTTCTTGTTAATAATAAATATCCCATTTGGTATACCTCTGCGTTAAAAAAAATTACTAAGGAAAAAATAAAAGTCCATAAAAAATGGAAAACTTATGAAAATTATAGTGACTATTGTACTTTTCGGATGCTGAGGAGGAGACAAAAAGTAGTTGATACCGAATGTTATAATAACTATCTGAAATACGCTGAAAACACAATTGCTAAGGACTCTAAATACTTTTGGACATTTGTAAAATCTAAAAAGCAAAGCGCTGACTTACCTGACATGTTTTACCTGGATAATTTTTCTACAGATAATGGACAAGAGATTAGCGATCTTTTCAACAACTATTTTTATTCTTCTTTTGAGCAGACTCCCATTAATTATACCCCAAATTTTAAAGTAGACGTTCACCCTCGCTGTAATAGCATGGACCTTTCTTCTGTTAATATTTCAATGCTGACTGTTGATAAATACTTAAAATCATTAAACATAAACAAGGGCTGTGGTCCAGACGGTGTACCTGCTATATTCTTGAAGAGATGTAATGAGAGCCTTAGATTACCCTTATTTATTCTTTTTACTCTATCTTTACGGACGTGCACTATGCCTTCTCAATGGAAAAGGTCATATGTAGTACCTATCTTTAAAAGCGGTGATAAGCATGACATAAAAAATTACCGTCCTATTTCGAAACTAAGTTGTATCCCTAAGATGTTTGAAAAGATGGTTTATGATACAATGTTACCCGTTATTAGACCTTTAATTATTGAACAACAGCACGGTTTTATTAACAGAAAATCTACTGAAACGAATCTTTGCGAATTCACTGATTTTGTTACGTGTGCAATGGATAATGGATATCAGGTGGACGCCGTGTACACAGATTTTTCTAAGGCTTTTGATAAAATATCTCACCTTATTCTTCTAGAAAAGTTAAAATACATTGGTGTACACGGCGACCTTCTGCGTTGGATTGAGTCGTACCTTAGTAACCGTAGTCAAGCAGTAACTATAAAGGGTTACTGTTCATCTTTTATTCCAGTCCCGTCTGGGGTACCCTAAGGATCCCATCTAGGTCCCTTATTATTTAATGTATACTTAAATGATATTAACCTAGTTTTCAAGCACTCCAAATTTTTACTATACGCTGATGATAATAAAATATTTAAAATTATTAAAGGTATAAATGATTGTATTGATTTCCAGAATGATTTAGATCGGTTTAGTGATTATTGTTCCATGAATTCTTTGTTCTTGAACATTAAAAAGTGCAATGTTATTACTTTTACTAGAAAACGTTTAACTATTAATTACCAGTACAAATTAAATAAAGAAATTATTTCCAGAGCTAGTGTGGTTAAAGATCTTGGAGTTATAATCGACTCCAAATTACTCTTTGATGAGCACGTCGCTTATATAGCTAACAAAGCTTATCGTATGCTGGGTTTTGTACTGAGGATATCCAAAGAGTTTAAGCAACCGTCAACACACATTCTTTTGTACAACACCTTCGTGAGATCTATCTTGGAGTATGCTTCTTCTGTTTGGAACCCTCAGTATAAGAATCATATTTGTAGAATCGAACGTATACATGATCGATTTATTAAGAACCTCCCAGTAAACATTTCTATTAATAATAAGAAAATTTCTATCCTTATGTCAGCAGTTGAACGACGTGCACAACGAGATCAAGTCCTTTTATATAAGATCTTGAATAACGAAATCGATTCGCCGTATTTATTGTCTAAACTACAATTTAAATGTCCACGAAATATTAATCCCAGACAAAAATCCACTTTTTATGTCCCTGCTACCAGAACTAAATTTGCAAAAAATTCATTTATTAATAGAAGTTGTGATCAGTATAATAATCTTTTTATTAGTAATGACATATTTCATCTCTGTCTTAATAAATTTAAAATTAGTGTTATATACAATTTGATTAATGCAAGCTGTTATTGATTTTATTATTTTACATTATTAATTTAAAAATGTGTTATTTATTGAATTATATTCTAAGGATTTTATTGATTATTTGTAATTATTGATTGTATGGCATTTCTCTCTCTCTCTCTCTCTCTTTTAAATTTGTAAGTCTCTTTTTTAATTGTTATTTTTAATATTTTGCATCTGTATCCATGTCTTTGTTATAAGTGTTATTTTAACAACGGAAACTATTATTGGTTATGTATTATCAATTGTTTGTTATTCTATGTTTATCTTGTAACACCGTTTGTTTCCTTAATAAATAAATAAAAATAAAATTATGAAACAAGAGTCTTCATGGTTAAATGTAATTGATTTTTCCCTTTACATTGGCACAATTCTTATATATCTACATATTTATTGAAAAGTTGAAACTTCTAAAGAGCTCATCTAACACGGACGTCAAAACATTCAGTACCTATATTAAAATGTACAATATTTTTCTTTTCTTTTTGACATTTGTCATGTTCCTGGCTTCTATGGCATATGGTCCAGTTCAGGTCACAACACAGTTTCCACATATAAATATCGGACCATGTCCCGCGGGATATATAATGATTGGTGAATGTGTCCCACTCTGAATTAAATGATTAATTTCATGAATATATACTATGTTTTATTTTCCATTATCTGAATTCTTTCAACCTTTTTGAATAGATTTTATTTTGGTGTACAAATCTTTGTAAATGATTTTTTATGAAGCTATGACGATATTTGTCCCTCCAAAGCTGATTTCTCTGACAAAACACAGCTGGGTAGTACCTGTGACTAAGATTTAGTCATTTATTTCAGCTTCAGAGATTTAATGTAAGGAAACACTCCTCCTTAATCCTGTTTTCAGAATCAGCCCTTAACGGACAGTGTGCTGAAATCCATTAAAAAGTAAAGCAATATTAATGGTAACATAATAATAACATATTATAAGATAAATTTTACGACGTTTTAATTTTTTTTGAGCGGAACCCTAATTCATTTTCTAAAATAAAAGTACCCTAAGTTACCTACTCTTTGTAATATCAACCATCTGCCAGTGAAAATCAGTTCAGCGATTACAGACATTAGGCGGAACAAATAGTTTTACATTATCGTGAAATGGAAATAAATATTAACATTTGAGTGTAAAATTTCGAAATCATATTTTTTTATATAAATATAAGTAAATAGTAGAAGAAATGTTATTAATCTACTGCCAGTCGCTAAAGTCACAGTAAAAGAAAAACTAAAAAATGAAAATCTTAGCATTTTTTGTTGGAGTTCTCGCATTATTTGGCGGGATACATGCGCAGGACA